TTTGTAATACTAATGATGATAATGATAATAAGGAGCCCTGCTACTTCCCTGCTGCTCCATGCTTTCCAGAGCACTTTCACATACATTATCTCATTTGATTTTCAAAACAACTCTCTAAAGCGGGTAATGTAAGACCTATCATCCAACTAGATAGGAGACACTGATGAATGAAGAGGTTAAATTATTTATCCAAGGTCACCTGCACCTGGCTAATTAATGACAGAATCAGTACCCCACCCCCACCCCTCTGACTGGGAGTCCAGTTTGCTTTCTACTAGATTAGATTCTGAAGCACAATTATTTTTACAGGTGTGCCTGCTTTAAGACAATTTTCTACACATATGAAACAGATAAGTTGGGGAGTGATGTTTTACTTTGCCAAAGGATTCATGTGCTCTACCCAAGAAGTCACTACAGGGCTCTTTTAATTTTCTCTGCAGGGCAGCAGCTCCCACCGTGATAAGGGACATATTTGTTGGCAGACAATTAGGAACACATTCATTGTTTGTTTGTTTCCAAGCCAGTGAAGTCACTGAGAACAATTGACTGGGTTGCAGGTACTTAAAGCTATAATGATGTTATAGAAGGCTCCTTAGGCCAGCTTGGCAAAGCATCTTGATTCTGTGGTTGTTTCTCTCACCCTGGCTCTTGCAGTGAACACATTCCATTATTGAATTATGGAAAAAAACAAAATCAGAATTTAGCTTCCAGGAGAGAGAGAGAGAGAGAGGGAAGGAGGTAGGGAGGGAGGGAGAGACAGACAGACAGACACACACACACACACACACACACACACAGAGAGAGAGAGAGAGAGAGAGAGAGAGAGAGAGAGAGAGCACTGTGTAGACCAAGGGTCCTTCCTGACTTCCTGATCCTAAATTGTCTGCTGCACCCATCTGACTGTGTGAGGTAGACATTGTACACTCTTATGTCTCTACTAATTGATTTGTATAAAATAATTACATGGATTGCAAATTAATAGGCATGTTTGGGGAGAGTCATGCTTAAACCTCGTCTATGTAATAATGCTCAGACAAGAGACCAATTTGATCAAAGGGAAAACAAAACAAAACAAAAACCCAGAGTCAGCCCACTTGTTTGAAATCGTGTAGACAAAGCAAACAACTGACTGAATTTTTCTGCTTTTCAACCTGTTGCTTTGGCAA